GTGTTCAGCTTGTTTTGTAGGAGTTAGAGGATGTCTTCCCCGAGCAGCTCGTTCCTGGTGCTTCAATTCCAAACAAACCAGCGTATCGAACCAATCCGGAGGAAACCAAAGAGCTCCAACGGCAGGTGGATGAGTTGATGGGTAAGGGTCATGTTCGAGAGAGCATAAGCCCTTATGTTGTACCCGTCATCCTTGTACCCAAAAAAGATAAGACTTGGCGAATGTGAGTTGATTGCCGGGCCATCAACAACATCACGGTAAAGTATCGACATCCTATTCCTAGGTTGGATGATATGTTGGATGAATTGCATGGTTCTAGTGTGTTTTCTAAGATAGATCTTAAATCTGGATACCATCAAATTCGAATGAAAGAAGGTGATGAATGGAAAATGGCCTTTAAGACGAAACATGGTTTATATGAGTGGTTGGTTATGCCTTTTGGTTTAACTAACGCGCCTAGCACTTTTATGAAATTAATGAATCATGTTTTGAGAGCTTTTATTGGAAAATTCTTGGTAGTCTATTTTGATGATATTCTGATTTATTACAAGAACTTAGATGACCACGTGGATCACCTTAAAGCTGTTTTGGAGGCTCTTCGAAAAGATGGTAATCTCAAGAAATGCATGTTTTGCACCGATAAACTTGTGTTTCTGGGATTTGTGGTGAGCTCGAAGGGAATTGAGGTGGATGAGGAAAAGATTGAGGCAATTAAAGCATGGCCCACCCCAACTAATGTGAATGAGGTTCTAAGTTTTCATGGTCTTGCAGGGTTTTATCGACGGTTTGTAAAGAATTTCAGCACCATTGCTGCTCCTTTAACTGCAACAATTAAGAAGAACATGACCTTTCAATGGGGTGAAGCTCAAGAGAAAGCTTTCGAGCTTTTGAAATATAAATTAACCCATGCTCCTTTGCTGATGTTGCCTGACTTTTCTAAAACGTTCGAGATCGAGTGTGATGCCTCTGGTATAGGCATAGGTGCAGTTTTGATGCAGGAGAAGAGGCCAATAGCTTTCTTTAGCGAAAAGTTGAGTGGGGCTGCCTTGAACTATCCCACGTATGACAAAGAGCTTTATGCTCTTGTTCGAGCTTTAGAAACATGGCTGCACTACCTCTGGCCTAAGGAGTTCGTGATCCACTCCGATCATGAGTCCTTGAAGTACTTGAAGGCACAACATAAGTTGAACAAACGACATGCTCGATGGGTAGAGTTCAGCGAATCCTTCCCCTATGCGATCCTCAACAAGCAAGGTAAGGAGAATGTGGTTGCGGATGCCCTTTCTCACAGGTATGCTTTGATTTCATATCTTGATGCTCGATTCATGGGGTTTGAGCATATCAAAGAGTTGTGTGTCAATGACCCTAATTTTGGTGAGATCTATGCGGCTTGTGAGAAGCATGGAGAGGGAAAATATTATCGAGCTGATGGTTACTTGTTTCGCGCTAACCAACTTTGTGTGCCTCGTGCTTCAATTCGTGAGTTGCTGGTTAGAGAGGCTCATGGTGGAGGCCTTATGGCTCATTTTGGGGTATCCAAGACTTTGGATTGCCTCCAGGAACATTTCTACTGGCCACACATGAGGAGTGACATGGAGAAGGTGTGTGCGCGGTGCCTTAAATGTCGCCAAGCCAAGTCAAAAGTTCAGCCAAACGGGTTATACCTTCCTCTCCCTATTCCTACTTCTCCTTGGATTGATATTTCTATGGATTTCGTTCTTGGATTGCCTAGGACTAGGAATGGTAGAGATTCTATGTTTGTTGTGGTTGATCGGTTTTCAAATATGGCACGCTTTATCCCATGTCACAAAACTGATGATGCATCTAATGTAGTTGAACTGTTCTTTCGAGAAATTGTTAGGTTGCATGGTATGCCTCGTACTATAGTCTCTGATCGTGATGTCAAGTTCTTGAGTTACTTCTGGAAAACTTTATGGAGTAAGCTTGGTACTAAGTGATGTTTTCTACTACTTGCCACCCTCAAACGGATGGTCAAACTGAAGTAGTTAATAGGACTTTGTCTCAAATGCTTAGGGTTGTCATTAAGAGTAAAATCAAGTCTTGGGAAGAATGCTTACCTCATGTAGAGTTTGCATATAATAGGGTTGTTCATGCTACCACTAAGTTTTCACCATTTGAGATTGTGTATGGATTTAATCATTTAACCCCATTGGATTTGTCTCCATTACCTGTCAATGAGCGTGTGAATTTAGATGGTTCGAAGAAAGCAGAGTTTGTTCGAGGTTTGCATGAGAAGGCACGGATGAACATAGAGAGACGAACGGAGCAGATTTTGAAGAGCGTGAACAAGCATCGGCGTCCTCAACGATTCGAGCCAGGAGATTGGGTATGGGCTCACATTAGGAAGGAACGTTTTACCCAACAACGATGTTCTAAGTTGCTACCTCGCGGCGATGATCCCTTTCAAGTCCTCACCCGCAATAATGACAATGCTTACAAGCTTGATTTGCCGAGTGAGTATGGTGTTAGTGATACATTCAATGTTGCCGACTTAGCTCCTTTCCTTGAAGATGACTTAGATTTGAGGGCAAATCCTTTTCAAGTGGAGGGGGATGATGAGGGCATCAACACCAAGGAGATCACAAGTCCAACTTTGGTGCAAGAGGAACGTGGTCCAATCACTAGAAGTCAAGTAAAGGCATTCAAAGGTCGACTTCAAGCTTATTTGGCAGAGCATTTTCCATCTTTGGAGTCGAATTCGTTCATGGGCCAGGAGGTCAATGTAATCCACGTCCAAGACGAGAAAGAAGGACATTCTTGATGCCCAAGTTGGCCACACATGGAAAGGCGAAGGCAAGGGGAGAAAGAAGGACATTTTTTATGCCCAAGTTAGCCAAACATGGAAAGAGAATAATTAGTGGCTAAGAATCTTCCATTGGCATTAAAAACAATATGTTAGAATCTTTTGGATATTTGTTTCCTTCTTTAACTACTATTTCTTTCCTTCTTAATTTTGTAAACCTCTATAAATAGAGGGTGTTATGCCTATGGGGAAAAGAACTTTTTATCAATGAAAAATCCTTATTTGAGTGTTCAATCTTGAAACTCTTTTATCCTTCTTAGTCTGTTCGTGGAATTGAGCCGTCTAGAAGAAACCGACGTTATCAACTAGTCAATCACCCTAGTTGTGGAGTCACTTCGTATACTTGGCCCTTTGCCCAATTGTGGCTTTGGTTTGAGTTATTTTCCGCCCCTTTTGCTCTTTGTTTTGCTAATCGATCTTTGTTGCGTATTATGATTGTTAAGTCCGGGAGTTAGAGCCTCGGCTTATATCATATCTCTTAATCGCAGATCAAGCCCTGGTTCTGACCCCCAAGGTTAGAACTGACCGATGAGTGTTCGATCCACTCCAAGTAAGATCGATGGCGACTCCCAAAAAGCGAACGCGACCCCTGAACCCCGTAGGGACGGTTGCGACAAAACTAAAGAGTCTCACCACCTAATTTACACCTTCTTACGTTCATTCACGTCATTTTATGATTATTCGCATAATTTGATGCTTATTCATGTAAGAGTTATGATTATTCACAATTATGGAATCCCAAAACCTTGTTTTTTTTCTTTTCCCTAATCATTTATATTCCCATATTTTATGAAATTAAATTTGAATTCTCATTGAGATTTAATGGGAGTTATAAACTACGACTATGACTACTTGCAGAAAAAGATCAAAAACTTGGTGTAGTCCGTTGTTTGTTTTGGAAACTTTGTCTCTATCGACGCCTTCTCTTATTTATAGACATGTGGTAGTAACCACGTTGAAGAACTGTCTGCTTGATAACTCTACAATAAAAACCCTCCTCCTTCTCTGGAGGTGGTCGTTGCTCTTTCAACCACCTAAGTGCCTCTCTTGGAACTATAGTGGGTATTGGAGTGTAACTTACCTCGCTTAGTTTTGTTCCAAATCTCGTGTCATGCTAATCTTGTGTGAGTTTGCGGTGTCTCGCAAAGGGGGTCGTATACCTCTTGCCTAGCGGTCATTGACTTCTTATTCATGCCCATGGCCCTCTTGTCTTGTGGCCATGGACTTGTTACTAGCGCTCATGGCCCCTTTCACAATCTGGTGGCATGGCCTCTTGCTTCACAACCATAGACGCATCATTTATGGCCATAGACCTCTGTCTCACGGGCATGGCCTTCTCGACAAGGGCATGACCCTCTCACTCACACCCATTTCCCCTCTCGTGACACAACCATGGACTTTTCACGATCATTGAGTCTATTTGCTTCCATGAACCTCTGTCTCGCAACCATGGCTTCTCCCAACCACATGGTATGGAGTCTCATGGCCCTCTTCCTCTAACGACCACATGGTTTTCTTCTGACAACCACATGGTCACCTTGCTCACATTCATGTGGTCATGAGGCATGATCTCATGGCATGCCATTCTCCCGACTTAGTATATTTTGTACATGCAGCTATATTCCTATTCACTCATGTCCATGCTTGTGAATGATTTAGCGACTTGGATTTCAAAGTCAAAATCAAGGAAATCCCATTTAAACAGTATTAATTGTTATAATTAATCTACCCTTCAAAAGCATTAACTAACTTATATATTATCAATGTAATAGAAAGTGTGCAAACAAGAGCATACAAGATGATGCCACCAAACTATCGATAGGAGCGGATGAGAGAATACCTTCCAACCCTACTATGACCCTAATCGGGCGGCCAAAGGACAGGAGAATAGAGGTGCTTGATGATTCCCAGCCCTTGACGATTTCAGGTATAAAGACTAGTTTGATCGATTGGAGCTAAAAGCTAAAACCAGCCCAAAGTCAAACTCAACAGTAGCTCTTGTCGCAATTTTTATATCATCTTGGCGAACCCGAGAACAGAACAACGCTGCTCGTCGCAGCAAAAACTGATGGCGGGCATATCCAACTGTCCAACGTTGGAGCAAACTAAAGACACTGAAACCTCAATCTTCAACACAATACTCTTCTCCATCGGGTAAATCACCCAACATTGGAATTCTCATATGTCTCCTTCGAAATCTCCCAAACATACGAATCCAAAAACGACAGCTCCGCAATGGCCTACATTTGCAAAGGCCAAACGACAGGGATCTGTATAAAAGCTAGCCATCGTACCAATGTAACTAAACAGGAACATAAAGAAGTCAAAATACCCAGTTGTGAGGGAGAGAGCAGTAAGAAGATTACATCATACACCAATCTTTCAAAACCAAAAAATGGCTTCACAACGCCAATGGACGGTGGTCATGGTTCTGAGGCTCAGCACTCTGTTCATCCTGGCAGCCTCTGTTCTTGTTCTGGTCTTCAACACCGTTAAAGTCAGCGTCGATTTCCGGAACTTCACCCTCGACGAGTTCAATCCCACCAAGATCACTTTCAAAGACCTCATCACTCTCAAGTAAAGAACATTTACGGTTTCCCCACATGGTCATTTTTCTTGCAGACCATATTAATGTAACCATAATTTTTTTCTACAATGCAGGTACTTGCTTGCTGTTGCTATTATCGGAGCGCTCTACACAGTTTGCCAGCTCCCTTTCGCAATCTACCACGTTGCCACGGGAAAGAGGCTGTCCCGAAATGACTGCATGCCGGAGTTCAATTTTTACGGCGACGAGCTCGTGAGCTATCTTCTGGCCACTGGAATTGGAGCCGGGTTTCTGGTGTGCGCGGATCTGAAGGTGAACCTGGATAAGATGATGAAGGCGCTTGAAGATGCACACGAAGCAGGGCTGCGTGATTCCAGGGAGAGCTACGACAAATTCCTCAACATGGGGATCTTAGCCACCGCGTTGCTTTTCTTGGCTTTCGTTTGCATGGCGGTCCTCTCTGTGCTCTCTTCAATCAACCGCAACCACGATAAAACCAGGTCCATCTTCGGCTGAGCATCAATTACCCAGTCAACAACAATCTGTTTGGCTCTAAACATTCAATTTCAACGCATTCCTTATAATGGTAGATCTGAATATTGATGAATAGATGTTCTTTATTTCATTTTTTCTTTTTTTGGAAAGCTCCATTGTATTGTCTGGAGTAATGGAATAAATAAGATGACTTTATTAAGGACAAGCATGACTACTGAGCAAACATTACAGACAACAAAATAGCAGCTTACAACATGTATACTTCTACACGACAATGTACAGTGGTAAGACTACACAGAAACAGTTTGCCGAAGCTCTAACATGGCTCCAATCCCTTTTCGGGCATTTCGGATCAACGCAAAGCTGATCCTGGGTTCAAGCTACAACAAAATGTACTTTAGAGGGACGCAAGTAGTAGTTTACCATGGGCAGAGGAAGAAGATATGAGTGCTAGGGTTTTTGAAAGTGAGGATATGGAATCTAAAGCCACTTTCAACATCTCCTGTGGGCAACCTGGTCTCACCATCTCTTCTACCTGAGAGACCAACCATCCATTACAAAACTTCAGGTCCAGTACACTGTAAACCCCATGAATGGATTTATGATTACCGTACAACAGCACGAGGGATGGAATGAGAAAGAAGTGTACCATGTCAAGGTATTCGTGCAGTTCTTCAATTTGCCTGATTTGGTCACAGTCTTCAGTCGATGGACTGCCAGCAATCTGATATCTCCACAACCGACAGAAGAAGTTATTATCGCAGAGAGCATAAATTGAACCTGTCTCGGCAGCTGCTTCAGCTTCCTGGGCAAACGACAATCACAAATGGTGAAAGCTTACTACACCTACATAAGACCAAAGATTCACTATAAGAATGAAGACCAGCAGCATGGATGAAATGCAAAGATTCTAAAGAAACAATGGTCTGCTAACATCGGCATCAGATCTTTCCTTTCTAGTCTCTTTCAATCCTTAGTAGTTTCTTGGGCAAATGGCAAACCGGAGGATTTACCAGTAACTAGATTCTTGGACATTGTGTTCATTTGTTCAGCCCGGTACTGGAGATTGGAGATGCAAAAGTACGGCCAATTGCCAGGAACAGATAAACGGTTGATTCCACAGAAGGTTGTTTTTATCTTCCCTAACCCTGGTCACCAAATTCTGGAATTTCACTTATAACAAATCAAAAGTGCATTTGCTGCCAACCACCATTCTCTACAGCGCATCTCCGTCCAAAGTTCAATCGAACATAACCACTTTCTTTACTTCCTTACTAATGAGAACTGTATTGAACTTCAACACTAAGGGAGATTTCCAGAAACCAGAAGAAAAAGGGAGCCGAAAAGGGTTTAACGGTGGAGAGGGGAAGTACCTGAGATACATCAGTGGGAGCTTCCAACTCTAGCAATTGATTCTGGAGCTGCAGAGACATATTGGTGGCAGCCGAAAGCGGGAAACAATTGGCGGGGACGGAAGGAGGGATCAATTCGTTCGCCGCCGGGGAGGCTACGAAAGGGAAAAAGAGGAACCCGAATCTAATCAGAATCTTCCCCTCTTTGTTTCAATTTTTTTTTTTTATTTTGTAGAAGAAAGCACATCTATCTACCTTTGGATTGGAAGCTATGTGGATGCACAGAACACGAGCCAGCCGTTGGATGTATGAAGGGCCATTACTATGGGCCGCGTCTTCCTTTTTATTTACTCAAGAGACTATGGGCCTGATCTTGTTAAGCCAATACTTTAGTTTCATATTGGGCCAGAGTATTGCTAGGAAAACTTGGTTTTGTGTTTGACTGATCCTTAGCCTTCGTTTGGAACTTTCGATTCTAATCGTTGTATTCAGAGTATACATGTATTTTTTGAAATATATTATTTTTTACTTTTTAATCACAAAATGCATGTATAGAGATGGATTATGTATTCATAATACATAGAAAATGATTTATAATTAATCTCGCCTTTTTGTGAGATTTAGGGGTCATTGGGTAGTTGGGATTTCATATGAAGTATTTAATCAATACATGTAATGAGAAGAATTTGTCATTTTTTTGTCTTAAACTGAAACAAAATACTTGTATTTGGACAGCAGATGGGACCACCATAATCATTCATTATGAATGATGGTCAATCCCAGTTTTTAGCAGAGATTGTGTATGATGAATTGTTAACTGACTTTTCATTCTAGTTTTTTGAGAGACCACCAAATCATTCAATCTTCAAACAATGTATTTTTCAAATTTATACATTGAAACAATACATCTAATTATAATATATACATTAATTAAATGGGTAAATGACATATTTGGTCACTGAGATTATTAAATTGTGTCATGTTTAGTCACTAGAAAAAATTAATATCAATTTTGGTCACTCGAATTACCGAAACTGGTCAAATTTAGTCACTCTCCCGTCAGTTTCCGTCCAACTCCATTAATGTAGTTGGACGGAAACTTTTGGGAGAGTGACTAAATGTGACATGTTTCAGTAATCCGAGTGACTAAATGTGACATTTTTCAATAATTCAAGTGACCGGAGTTGGACAGAGGCTACAGAAGAGTGACCAAATGTGACCTGTTTCAGTAATTCGAGTGACCAAAATTGATATTAAATTTTTCTAGTGACTAAATATGACACGATTTAGTAATCTCAGTGACCAAATGTGTCATTTACCCTTAATTAAATACATCAATTTAAAGCATCATAACTTTCAAACACACTCTTAGTATCCATAGTTCATTTCATGTATAATCCGTACATTCTTCTATATTTTCCAAACAAAGCATTCTCAAAACCAACACATTCTTATTATACACATAATATTAATACACACATCTTGCAGGGACGGACCCACCTTTGACCAAGGTATGTCACCCGACACACCTTGATTCAAAATTTTGTGAAGAACCCACAAATTTTCGATGTAAAAAATACGAATATGGGACCTCCGACACACCTTCAATAATTGTAATCGACACACCTTATTACATTACAAAAAAAAATATTGTCATAATGTTATTAAAATATGTAAATATAGGAGTTATCGGACTTCATATTAGGTAGTTAATTAGTTGGTTGCAAAAGAATAAACAATTAATTGACTACTTAGTACATAATGAGTATTTAGAAAGATAGGTATCACCTTAGAGACAACATCGATAATTTGAATGAGAATTAAATTTGATTAATAAGCTGGTTGAGTCAAATAATTAGATAGTTAATTCCAGGTTGTCTTTCTCCATAGCTTCTTCCATAGATTTTTCTTTAAGTTAATTTTCAATTTGCTTTCTAGTTTAATTATTTCTTTCCACGTTGACGCCTGTAACCACCCTTCAATTATCGGCATCGAGCCAACGACATCCTCATGCTCATTCAAATTTCCACGTTACACATGTGGCCACCCTTCGAGCTTCTCATACCAAATTTCTCATCTTAAATTAGTATTGACTTTACCTCTTGCAACTGCAAGCTACAAAATGACATTTTCATATATGAGTTTAATCAAGAACAATCTTTGGTATAAGTTGAGTGACCAGTTTATGTATAATTGTTTCATATTGTACATAAAAAAATATGATTTACAACCTAATGGACAAATACAATTAAGAAATCTTTAAGAATATGAAAAATCGCCGTGGTTCACTGTAAGAACTAATGAAATTAGTGAAACTTATGAATATTTTTTTGTTTATTTTAAATTAATTAATTTATTAATGTTAATTTATTTATTTTCCATTTTATTTTATTGGTCGACACACCTATCCCAATATCCTGGGTCCGCCATTGTATTCTTGTAATACACTATTTCCGAAATCAAAGTTTTAAACAACCCGTTGGATGTTTTGAACTTATAGCGTCTTACTTACGAGAGAAAGTGGACCAACTATTCTTCTTAACATATATAGTTTTTGGTAGGCTTAAACGAGTTTTACCAAATTTGTGGGTTTAGTCTTTTACTTTTGGGTCATTACTTCCTCTTTAGTCTTTACTAAACGTTTTGGTAAAACACAACTTGGAGTTTATTACGCAGACTTTTCATGTCAAAGCGCTCCCATTTCCAATCTTCTTCAAAATGTTAATTAATATATATAAACCTAAAGTCATTTTACTGTTGCCTAAGATCAATGCTAATCTGCACTACTGTCACCTAAACTATTCTTAGGTTTTGATTACAGTAGAGCACATGTTTATTTGATAGAAGAAATTCGTTTACCAATTACAAAGTAATTTTGGTTTTATGATTGATCAATTATACATTGAACTTCAAATCCCGCTATGATCTAATCAATTCCCTGGTTGAATACTTTGTAAAAAAAACAATATTATGGAAAACAAAAAAAATTATAAACAAAATAATGTCATAATGATTTTTGTTACTTCCTCAGTTGTCCTTTTATCTCTCATTCTTTTTTTACATCTCTGCCTTCTTTGTCTACCCTAATTAGTAAATTATATTTATATATGTCTTCTCATTTACAATTATAAATGGTTATTTAAATAATTCAGCAATGGGTTTATCACGAGTAACAATTGAACCATAAATTACTCATCTTTTAGTTCATCGTCTAGTTGCTCCATAAAACCCAAGACGTGCAGATTGTTAGAGTGTGATATAAGATCCAGCAGAACCTTCTCCCAAAAACTCGAGTTATTGGGATCAACTGGTTCTTGACATGGTATCAGAGCCTCGAACCAAAAGGTCATGTGTTCGAATCTCCACGACACCCAATATTAACCGTTGTCTTTCAAGCACATGGTATGGTGGGCCTGTGCAAACTTCAAGCCCATGGGTTGGCTTTCGTTTGAGGGGGCGTGTTAGAGTGTGATATAAGATCCAGCAGAACCTTCTCCCAAAAACTCGAGTTATTGGGATCAACTGGTTCTTGACACAGATGAAGCGTTTCATGTCAAAGCTCCCATTTCTCAACTTGCTCTAGCAGCCCATTCACATAATATTGGCTCACGGTTGTGAGACAAAATGGAGGATAAAAATAAGGCACTATAGTTGATATTTGATATGGTATGGTAGGAATACAATTAGTTTATATGTCGGTTTCGACAAAATATACGAAGACGTGGGAAACTATATATTAACACCAAATAAATTATGTGTTTATATAATATATCTTAAAACAATTAAATTAATTATAAACTCCATCCATATTTAAATAAAATACTACATTACAAACAAAATGAGAAACCATCATGTTTTTTACCGATATTGACAGACACTTCCGAATAGAGGTTTGACAACCATGAATGTAATAGTTATTTTTCACAATTATTTTTGGCTTTGTAGATTCATGTTGGTCATTTTATTAATCTGATTTAGATAAACTATTACTATGGTTGATATAATCCCTCCCTTAATCTCTCTACCAACAAAAGATACCGGCTCCACCATAGCTTCTCCACCTATACACTCCCTTTTACATTATAAAAAAAAAAATTCCCACTACATATATTTCCATGTGTTCATACTTGATACAGATAGGCATATCTATACATTCATGGAGAGAGAGAGAGAGAGAGAGAGAGAGAGAGAGAGAACAAGAACTTGAAAGAGAAGGAGGATGTGAAAGAGAGAAAGAAAGAATGATGAAAGGCTTGCAAAAAACGATTGTCCAAAGAATCTCACTAAAAGCAAAAGTAAGCTAGCAAGTGAAAGAAAAGAAAGAAAGAAAGAGAAACGCCCCCAATCAATATCACGACCCAAAGACATCCGGCTTTGAATCCTCTTCCCCATATAAATGCCAACCTCCCCACATAAAAAGAACCACCACTGAAACCCAAGTTTCTTCTTCTCCTCCTCCTTTCCAAACAAGAAAACAGAAAAAGGACGAAGAACAACAAAGAAGGGGTGTTCTCAAGTGTATCAACAATGGCGCCGGTGGGATTGCCTCCGGGGTTCAGATTCCACCCGACCGACGAGGAGCTGGTGAACTACTACCTCAAGCGCAAGATCCATGGCCAGGAGATCGAGCTCGACATCATCCCTGAGGTCGATCTCTACAAATGCGAGCCCTGGGAACTAGCAGGTATAGTATAGTGTGCGCTCTTCTTTTTCTTTTTCTTTTTTTCATCGTGATCTATTAGATATACATGCAAATGCAGTATGGTGTTTTAACTCATAATGTTTGCGTTTTTTATTTTTTTTTTGCAGAGAAGTCGTTTCTGCCGAGTAAGGACCCGGAGTGGTACTTCTTTGGGCCGAGGGACCGGAAGTACCCGAACGGGTTCAGGACGAACCGGGCGACTCGGGCCGGGTACTGGAAGTCGACGGGAAAGGACAGGAGGGTGATGAGCCAGGGTCGGGCCATCGGGATGAAGAAGACACTGGTTTACTACAGAGGGAGGGCTCCTCAGGGGATACGGACCGACTGGGTCATGCACGAGTACCGCCTCGACGACAAGGAGTGTGACGATTCGTCCGCCGGCCTCCAGGTACACGCGAGTACATCTAGCTAGTAACTAATTCGTTCTTGTCTGGTGCATTTTCTACTTATATTTTATCGTTTTACGAAATCTGTTACGTTCTTTTTTCGTGCATCCGCGTCTCGTTTGCAATTTGTGATCATTTGCATTTGTTTGTTCATAATGTGGTTGAAGGTCAATTGCTTGTGCTTGTAGAAAAAGGAGTTAAAACCGGATTTTTAAGATCTTATCGCATTAAATTTGAGTTATTGATATCAACGACTTTTTTCCTTACTTTTTAATTTGGGATTGTTGTATTTATTATCTGAACTGAAACTTTTCATCGATGTTTTTTATGTGGAAAATGATGTTCGTTGATTTAAGTGTAAGATATTGCGATCTTGAATAAGTCTGACAAATGAGGATTCTTTTATTGTTATTTCAGAATAAATAGTATAAACTCCAAATTTCGTCAACTTCACACTCGCTCGAGTAATTAAATGGTGTTCGTGAGAAAACAAACTAGTTACTTTCTTGACATCATTGGATAATAAAAAAATATGAACTTCAAATTTCGTCAACTTCACACACACTCTATTAGTTAAATGGTATTCGTGAGAAAACAAACTATTTCTTGACATATATCCGTGGAATTGGATAAACAAGAATGTACAATTAAAAAACTTTTGTGTATACATAACATTATCTTGAACCTCAGTTACAATATAGCATATTTATACACTAATCGAAGGGTTTCGAACTCACCCTTATCGAAACTACAATATAATTTTGAATGTGTTAGATTCAAGTCTCGGTATACTCGAGTTGGGACATTTTATTGGAAAAACAAAATGTAGTGATTTCCTCTCTATGGCGAACTGTAGATCCTCATTACAAAGTTGTTTTTGTTTCAAAATTACCTTACGATGAGATCTTATCCTTATTTTTAACTGCAAAAGCAGGAGATTTACCCAAAGATATCGCGTGCTGTAATGTGATGGGTGGTTTATAAATCTCCTCTTTAATTTCTGCCTTTTACTTGTGTCTCTTTTGATTAGTTTTTTCTAAATAATTTTTCTTCTTGTTGCTGGTTTTGAATCACACACTAAACGTACAGATCGATCTCTTTTGCTCTCTTTCCCCCCTCCATTCCATTACTTTCATTTGGGCTTTCCTTTATCCCCTTTACTCGTCTTTCCGCATCAGCCCAGCATATTATGTTTCATCGCAAAGCACGTTATTACTCCGATTCAGTAAATATTACCACATGTAAAAGTAAAAGTGAGAGGTTAACTTGATCCATATATCTTTCGTGGCACTACCACGTCATGCATTCGGTTTATCACGTCAAGTAGTTTTATTATGAGTTTCTGAATTTTTTATACATTTATTATATAAATGGGTGGTATTTCCACTAGTAAAAAACCAACTTTATGGAAAATCCAAAAAATTAAAAACACTAATACAAAGAAGGGAAAAAAAAAAACAAAAGATTAAAAGCATAACGAGCTTACCATGCCATCATTGTAATCTTTTTGGCAATTTTCACCCTTCCCCCCTAATAAACCCTTTTGTAGCAAAAGTAATCCAATCGCCCAATCCCCACATATAATCATGTCCTCGAATATTGATTTTGTCATCCCATTCCCATGCATTGCATTGATAAAAAGAAGTCGACGACTGCATGATTCTGCGACATGAAATGTTGGAAAAGAGAAACCCATCCCACAAATCACAATATAATAATAATAATAATCCCAATCATCATTCTACGATCTTCATCATCAGTAATACTACTATAGCTTTGCTTTTTCCATATTCTAATGCATTATCTACAACTCCCCTTTTCCCTGCATTGTTTTCTGTTTGAAGTCTGACATATATTCGTTCCTTGGAGACCAGCTCCATCCCTCTCTCCCTCTCCCTCTTCACTTCTTTCTCTCTCTACGTTTGTCGTGTGAAGAAAGGGTTTGTCTTTCTTAGGGTTTCGGGGGGGTTCTTTCTGACAAACAATCTGTCTTTGTGGATCTATAAATGAGACAAAGATTAAAGGCAAAGCAAAGCCACTATATAGCTCACTGACTAACACACACAATTAGAGTAGAGAAATCTCCAAGAGCTGTGAATAGTACCCACATGATGTCCCCACTTGCTCCCTTATCTCTGCCTGGCCTGCTGCTTTCCTTTCCCTCTTTTTGGCATTATGTTCTCCAAGGTGCCTAGATTCTCGACTGGTCCTAACAGGAAAGAACGTGGACCCAAAATATATATATAACAGAAAAAAGAGAGGAAGATAGCCCTAAAACTAAAATAAACTTAACCTTGGAAAAGCAAGGGGACAGTCTTGCCTCTTAGCATCCCACTTTTCCACAGTTGTAGAAGAAGGAGAAGCTAGCTGACGAACAAGGAGGAGGAGGAGAAAGGATCGTCACTCGTCGTCGTCCCATCCCATCGCTGGCTTTTTTGCGGCTTTATTCTCCTTCCATCCAATACCCATTAAACAATTCTGCAAATCGCCCACTATGTTTTACCAATCATCAACCACTTTTGAGATCCTTCTCTTCTCATCATGATCACAGAGCTAGCCTACCAACTCAACTCCCCCCAATAATATATATATTCTCTTCTCCAGCCTGCATGCAAATGCAAGACACTTCCTTTTGTTGATTCCGGGTCAATGCCATAAGTGGTCAAGGTCACTCACAATTCAATCATTAGACTTTTGCTTTTGAAAATTAAAAACTTGGGTAGTATAGATCGAACCAATTAACGTACGTAATAGTTATTTTGTTCGTCGGGGTTTTATCCGAACTATGCATGTTATAACGTTTTAACCCACAAAGGTTGATAATAGAAAGGTGCGTATGCAGTACCTGATTGGATACATCGTATAATAAGTGTTATCCTTACACATCCAATTTCGACTCATATGACTAGAGATCGATGATCACGTTAATACATCCCTCCTACTTGATAGTACATTAGAGGTTTACATGATTTCATTTGGTAGTTATTTGTAAGAGAATGACCTGCTAATCTCGATAACTTGGGCGAAATAGTTATTTCGAAACTTGAGTTACAAGTTTGCTTAGAAGAGAAAAAAAAAAATCAATGATGAATTTGTTTGATGAGTAGTCCAAAGTTTGATGACAATCCATGTAATTGACCTATTTATTAATTGGGTTGCTCATCCATATTTCACAACACATTTTGGATTCTGCATATGCCTTATTTGTGCATCTTATTTTATGTGTTTTGCTTCTTTTTTTGCCACCTCCTCCTTTGCTTTCCATTTTTTTTGTTTCTATTATTTATGAAAAAAGCTTGTGGATATCAGAATACATATCCCTTTAGACAGCCTCTCATCCTTTTCTTTTCTCCTTTTTTTCCGCTGTTTTATTTTACTATTAATTATTCCTCCATATCAACCTCTCTTGTAGGAGAATCCATAGATATAGGGTTTACTAATAACGTTATACCCACATGCACTTGTCACACTTTGTTTAGTTAGGACATTTCTCTTTCGGTTTATCAATGACCATTATGTTATACAATCAAAAGTTTTCAGAAATTTGACGATTGATATTTATTTCGTATTACAGGATTCGTACGCACTATGCCGGGTGTTCAAGAAAAACGGCATATGCTCCGAACCGGACCAAGAATACCTCCATCAAAACCAACAACAAAGGCAATACTACAGCAGCAACAGCAGCCCTACCAACACCACAACAAGCCCTAGTATGATATCGTCGTTAATGGAGACCTCTCCCACCGCCGGCGGCAGCCTACACACTAACAATAACGTTCACCTGAGCATGATGAATGACTACGAGACCATGTCGCCGGACGTCGTCCCCATCAACGCCTCCTCGTCGTCTTGCCTCGAAGACGACGACAAGGACGACTCCTGGATGCAGTTCATCACCGACGATCCATGGTGCGGCGGCGGCGGGAATAATGCTGCCGCCGGTGGAGAAGAGGTTTCGTATCAGCCGCCGCATCATAACTATCATCAAGTCAGTAACAACACCGCCACCGCCACCTTCACAGACTGATTAATTTTTATGACTGCAGGGGGTATAATTAATTGGTGGATTAATTAATTGATTAATTAAATCAATTTGACTTTTGGTTATACAAAATTTACAATAACTAAAAGGAAGAACAGGTGCATCTTGATCAAGATGATTAGGGGGAAAAAATATTTCTTCAAGTGTTTGATTATTTTCGATTTATTGGGATATCTCATGATTAGGCTTCTTGTTAATCTAATTGAAGTTGTTCTGCATTTGTTCTAATTTTCTTAGTTTTAGGGTTTGGTTTGTGGATGTCCTGGTGGTGTTTGCCTAATCGAGCCAGTTTATGCGTTGGCTCGATATTTCTTTTTTATGGGTTTTATTTTTGGATATGTGGGATGTTATATGTACTCTCTTTTCCGAAATAAACAAACAATATTTTGTTATATTTTTTGATCGGTTCTTCTTGTGGTATTTATTAAGGTGTATTCTTTCCTGTTAGTTAGAATTATTAAAACTCAAGTTACCGAATGCTTAATTACTGTCCCTTATGAAAAATCCGCAGAGCCCAATTAATTTGAGAAAACCAGTGTTACTAACACCGAATCGAGCCGGCCGGCCGGACCGCTAAAGCCCCACCCAGGCGCAAAATCGGTTCGGGCCAGTCATTTAGACGCTACGGTTTTATTGAGCGGTCAGCGAGCGGTCAAGGCGGTTAACCGTTCGAGCCGCTTGAACCGAGCGCTCGGTTTTCCCCTTCTGACCGTTCTGTTTAATAAAAAAAAATGAAAAAGAAGATCGAAAATTGAAAACGAAAGGCAGAATCGTGGGGCTGGGAAAGAAACCCTAACTCTAATTCAGTTTTCGTCTTCGACTCTTCGTGAACAGAGGGAGAAGAGCGGCTCCAAACCCTACCACCGTCCTGGCTTCCCGTCGGCATCGTCGCCATCCCCAGTCAGCGTAGCAGCTCCCAGCTCGCCATCGCCAGTCTAAGTCCTCGTCCCCTCTTCCCGTATCAACTCCTCCGCTCCGTCATCACTTCCCTTCCCGGTGCTTCCCATCACCATCGCCGCCATCCCCAGTCCCTGTAGCCGCTCCCGGCTCCCCGATCGCATGTTTTGGAATTGTTAAGAGTTAAGAGTGTAATTTACTAATTTAGTCATGGTTTACCATGATTAAGAAGTGTCCACTATTTATATTGATTGTTTATTAGGTACCGGTTTTCTAACGGTTTTTAAACCGTTTAATGTCGTTAGACCGCTAAAGATCGAGCCGTTCACATTAACGGATCATACTCCGATTCGCTTTTGACAACATTGGAGAAAACACGGTTAATTAAGGAATTGTAAAAGAACCCAATTAATTACAGAAATCACTGTTCATTAAGGAATGGTATTATGTGGTTGTGTCTAGCTTAGTTCCTGTGGAGGCCCCTGGCGGCTAGCCAAGCTACAGCCGAGATCCCTAGCTACGGCAGAGGGAACATTTTCAAACTTTAATCGTTTGCTCTCTTTTATAAGAAGTAACCAACGAGGTAAGTTACTTTACCCACCAATTTAACATCAATCTGAATTCAAGTTAATTTTCATGTTTATATTTTAGAATAATATGTTGGCAAGCAAACACGATAGTTATAAGGATGCACTTTGTGCCAATAAAAGTAAACTTTTGAAAAATATACAGATGAAGTCGTATTATGACATAATTTCCGTAAAGTCAGTTAGTTTTATATGATATTTTAATCAAATGTGATACTTTGTATAACTTAATTCATTGAGTAATGAGTATTTATTAGCCAAATTTTTTTCGAATTCTTCTTACCTAGCAAAATCTATCGAAATACTAAGAATTAACCAAATGTTTTGTAACACGTCAAAGTAATAGCCGTTAGGCGTTAGTCTGTTACCATTAACTATTTATTAATGGTGCTCCACCTCAGCGTCCAGCTCAACTGCCACCTCATCAATGAATAATCTAAAAATGGGTAAACACTAATTATTAGCCAAATCTTTCTCGCATTCTTTTCTATTAGCCAAACCTATTGAATTACTAATAATTGGCCAAGTCTTTTGCGATGCATCAAAAGATTAGCCATTTTGACTTTATCGTTAATAATTTTGTAACTCTTTTCTTAGTTAAAATACTAAAACTTTGGAATGTTGATCTTCATGTGTCTCTTCCAGGTCAGTATCATGTTGTCAAGTCTTTACTAACAAAATTGCTAACTGGAAGTTACCATTTGGCTAATTTTTAGTAATTCAATAGGTTTGGGTAATAAAAAAAAGGGTAAATACCTTAGTTTGGCCTGAACTATACACATACTTTCTACTTTGGCCCGTGGTATTGACAATTGCTATTCTGGCCTGAACTATGTAGCAAACTTCCTCATTTGGCCCGGAGGTGGGTGTGACCGACAAATTAGACGGTCAAACCTGTTGACCGTTAGTCAATGTCCACCTCATCTGCCACGTCAGCTTTGAGGACATAAAAAATATTTTTTTTATTTCTGAATTTTGTTTTCCTTCAATTAATTAAAATAATAAATCAAAAAAATTATTAAAAGAACGAAAAAATGGCCCATGTTTTAGCAAATGACAAGAAAAAAAATTCAGAAAAAAAATATTTTTTATGTCCTCAAAGCTGACGTGGCAGGTGAGGTGGACATTAACTAACGGTCAACAGGTTTGACCGTCTAATTTAACGGTCAAACCCGCCTCCAGGCCAAATGAGGAAGTTTGCTACATAGTTCAGGCCAGAATAGCAATTTCCAATACCACGGGTCAAAGTAGAAAGTATGTGTATAGTTCGGGCCAAACTAAGGTATTAACCCTAAAAAAAATACGGAAAAGATGATCAATGATTGACTGGCTGATGTGATCTTTACTGCCACGTCAGAATATTCTTTCCAACTTAGCGCCAAGTTTGACAGCTCACCATCATCAAACGAAAAAGTTAACAAAGAGTTATTGTTGGCTAATTAATAGCATTTCAATAGGTTTGGCTAATAAAAAAGAATCTGAAAAAAGCTTTTACTAATAAATAATCTTTACCCTAATTCATTTGATATCAACTACAATATTCACCATCTCATCAATTTACATTGAGAAAAAATCTCATGTTAACTTTTAGATAATAATTTAATCAATTGTAATATTTTCTATAGCTTGATTTTATTGTTAGACCATATACTAATAAAAGAAAATTGTTATGGTTTCAGAAGTTCTGAATCGATTCAAGAAGGCCCTGTAAATAAAGAAGAAAGAAGAGAAAGAAAGGAGTCATTGTTCTATGTTAGTTACAATTATATCATATAAAACTTATGGAGTTAGTTATTTCTTATATATTAATTCAAAAAACATTACTTAAATCTTTCATATTTAATTAAAATTTTATGTAAATTTTATGTAGGAATAGTGATTATTATGTATCAATTAAACAAATATTTTTCCTTTGTCGTTTGCCTCACGATTCGAATCTAAGGTTTGTTGGATGTTTCAACCCCAAAATTAAGATAGAATTAGATACATAAGAATCACTAGATATTTGTTTAATAAAATTTTAATTCGATCAAAGTAATAAGGAACAAAATTAGACACTCCTTTTCTATCATTTCAAGTAGGTTGAATAAAGAATTGACCGACGACCTACTTCAGTAAATCAATTGATGATTCCTCATTTTAAGATAGAATTAGGTTGTCATAGCTTCAAAAACCATAAACCTAAAGATTCAATAGCCACCACTCTCCGTTGTACAATAAAATTTTTATCCACTCTATCTTCAATCCCAAGAGGTGTATGTTTCTACCAAAAATTCAATTTTTAATCCTCCTTCTGCACTTCCATTTATTGAACCCCATTCTATTCGTCATGGATTGATATCAGAGTTTAAAAAAAATTATTTGCCTAGTTTAAATCCCCAAGAATAAAATTGTAGTGCCAAGATACCAGAAGATTGATTTTCAAAGGCAACCTTGTACTGTGAAGTGAAAGGGGGTGCAAACTATTGCACAATGGAAGGAATTTCAAAGAAAGTTAGAAAGAGATAAGAACAATGATAAAAAAAAAGTACACATTTAAATATAAATTGAAAAATTTTAGGACAAAACACGTAGTAATAGAATTAGTTTATTCCATGTTGGGTAATTACCAATTCAACTTTAGCGAAAATTGAGGAGAGAGTAGTGATTTTAGAATTGAGAAACTAAATGAAACTCTGCTATATATGAAAAATGCAGTATCAAGCACCATAAAAATACATATGGTAGACATAGTGGGCTTGCTAATCATGATGAAAAAGTCCTCTGATTTTTCAGAGTGTCACTTCGTGTATGTTCTGTATTAAAAAAGATATAAAAAATTTGTTTAGTGTAATTGGTTGTGATTGTTGTTTTTGTTTGAAAAGACTTGTGTTCAAATCTTGATATTAATATTTTTTATATGGAATAAATAACTAATTGTGAAGACAAAAATGTTCTTTCTACTTTCATTTTTGTTGTTGAAAATTTAAAATAGAAAAAATTAGACAAAACTCTACTATATATTATTAGAGGACTAAAATAGTTTTGTATACATGTGTTGAACCGGATTATCTGCCATATGGCATGTGGATAGCCTACCCAATTTGAGTCGGAGTAGACAAGAGATGAATTGGCAGCAAAGTGAAGAGCTTGAGCAAGAGATAAATGCCAAGAGAGTAGAATTAACTTCAATTCATTCAATACAAGTTAGAGTGTGTGTAGATACAAATATAACCGAGTCATACCATTACCCGATGTAATTCCATTTGTCCAAAAACTTTACGTTAGAGTTTTAACTTAAAGCAAAACAAGTAAAAACATACCGTGCACTTTATGCATAACCGACTTTTGGCATTATACAACAAAGACAAATGAATAAATGGCCATATTTACCTTACTGTGCTTTCACGTATAAATAAATACACAGTTGAAACCAACCACATGTACACCAACATAACATCAACTACAACAATGGAGAAGCAGACATTGTTCTTGAAGATCCCTTTCTTCACTTTCATTCTGCTCACGGCTTCTGGTAATTATTTGATAATAATCTGACGCAACCTTTCATTCGAAATTTCCTCCATCTCTTTGCTAATTTATGATAATTTTTTTTGCAGTTGTTTCCTCGTCAATGGCTGACGTCGAAACTGGGTCGTATTCGTCGCGAAAAGTTGGGCGTTATGGCCAGGAAATAGCAGGTGTTAGCCGTACTACAACTACTACTACTGATGCGGGGGTTTGTAAAAAGGACGAGGATTGTCTCAAATATTGCCCCCCTGTGTGTAAAGATAGGCCCAAAGAGATTCAATGCTCCTTCGTCGGCAACTGTTTCTGCAGCTGTATTACATAGACGTCAGTTTGGGAAACGAGAGTAGAGTGAAGGCATATGAACAAGATTTCAG